TTTAAGGGTGTTTGGTATAAAAAATTGATATTAATGAGGAACAACTTATTGAACTACTTGAATGAACAAAAATAATTTATGAATACCAACGAGAGGTTGGATCAAGTAATAAGCAACTTGTTTTAGTTTAAGTAAGGTCTCGAGTTCGAGACCTTATGTACGCAACAACCCCTGTTGAGAGATTCACTCACCATTTTTAGGTGCACAACGCGGGTCGAGTTCAGATTAATCGGGACGAAGTTTTAAATACCGAGCGAAAACCAAAAATAAAAATAATTTATGAATTTATTTAATTTGTAATCTCATAACTTCTAGAGCATAAGTATATAGTATATTAATTATATTTTAAAATAATTTATATAAAAAATATAAAAATTAATATTATTTTTAATACTAATAACATATATATAATTTTAATTAAATAATTAATAAATTAAAATTAATTTTTATTTTTTATAATAATTAATAAAAAAATTAAAATTAATATTTTTTTTATACTAGAGAAATTGGGAGAAGAAGATAGTTAATTGAATTAAAATTCAAGATTTGAATGTTCAAACACTATCACTCACAAAAATGATCAGTACGTCATTTAGTATCGAATTACAATTAATATATTTTTAATTTATGCTTTAAACACAAACTTAAAAAACCTCTTAATATAATACGTAAGAAAATTTTAAAATCATATATTAAAGGCACATTTATTTTATTTTTTATTAATAATTTGTATAAATTAATAATATAAAAATATTACAAACATCTTCTTAACCACGTGCCTTCAAAACACATGTTACAAAGGACCAATTAGTATTTATTATCAATCGTCTGCAACGTTTAAATTGCTAATCCGTCTTATATTAGCGTTTTGCGTTGATTTAGATCCCTCTTATATTCCGCGTAAAACTGTAACCCTGGACCTTACTTGTCCCTGTAACAGTACTCACTTTCCCGTTCTACGCAAAAATCACGTACTACTGTGGATACTGCACTCTTTATTCGTTCGACACGTGCGCTGCTCCCCCATGTTCAGTCTTCCGCGCGCGTAAAAGTTAAAGTCAAAACCTGTAGTATTAAAAAAAATATCATTTATCAATTATTTAAATAATTTAATAATAAATTTTTATTATTAAAAATAAAAATTTTGAATTTAAATCTCATCATATACAGATATTATGATGGAATAAGAGATGAGAAAAAATTATTTTTATTAAGTAATTAATATATAAAAAAAAATGTCATTTTTGTAGATTACTCAAAAACCATGCCTTCTTATTTAGCCCATCCTGAACGAAATTGAATGTTGAATCGTTGATCCATGTCAGTCCACCAAACGTGAACTTCACCGCACACGGTCACGTTATTAGAGTTAGAGAAAAAAAAGAAAAGTACTACTTTGGAAATCGGGGGCCCATCTCTAGTGGGACCCACTTTACTGATTTGAAGGGGGAGGGGACCCTCAGGCCGTTTCCCATCTCCGTCACGGTGGATTAGCCTGAAAAAGCATGGCGTTCATCCGGCCGTCACCACCACCACCACCTTCACTTCACAGCAGCTAGCTGTCACCGTCGTCAGTCCACTTCCCGATGGTTCTCTCTTACGATCAGTCAGCGGTGGCGGTGCACGTTAGCCTCGGTCCCCAAACTGTCTCTCGTCATCCCATAGCTTTGCCCACACGCACATTTAATTAGGGATGATATTTTGATTGAGGTTCAGAAAATGACGAATGTGGCGGCTGACGAGCTTGGTGGCACGTGCCCCGGATCGTGTCCCTCACAACTTTCAGAACTTCCTAAACATTTGATTAAGGAACATTTTTGTTCTTATTAGTATAGCTTATCTAGTTAATAAATTATGTTATGCAGCCTGTCCTGTAGTTGAATAAGGGCACAATCTTCGTATCAGAAGGGATTTCTCATCTAATAATTATTTTATTTTATATTTGGTTTGAAAATATTTGATTGTAACTGTAATCATAAATTTTTTAATTTTTTTATTATTTAAAAATATATTTCATTTTTATTTTAATTAATATTGAGTTTTTTAATTTGTAATTTTAAGGCATAAATAAAGAGTTTTGAAAAAAAATAAAAAAATAAAAATGTAATTTATTAATTATTTAATTAAATTTATTTACATGATAATAATATTGAAAATTATTTTTATTTTTATT